AGAGAGAGAGAGAGAGAGAGAGAGAGAGAGAGAGAGAGAGAGAGAGAGAGAGAGAGAGAGAGAGAGAGAGAGAGAGAGAGAGAAGCACCAGCATGAAAGAGATGTGGAACCGAGGGAACAATCACTGCACCCTAGCCAAGGTTGCAACCCAGCCTTGTGGCTGAATGGTACATAGTACTAAAACCATTTGTTGATAAACAGATTACCAGCTCGAATCCTGATGGAACCAGCTGAATACAATAAGGTTAGGGGTTACATACTTCAAAGAAAAAGAGAGAGATCCAGAACCCAAGCTTGTGGTCAAATGGTACAGCGGTAACTCATAATCAATGATCTCAATACCAATCAGTCGGGGAAGAGAAAAAAAAAGAAAAACCACTGCTCTCTGGTAGTAAACCAGAGTTCCAAGGCTCTCTCTGTGGAGAGCCCTCCCTTGCCTTATTCCCCGTAGCTGGCTGATTTTTGCTCTTTTGAAAGGCTCAGGCCAACCTAAAAGGAATGTGGCAAATCGAACATCTATGGAATGATTCAACCAACTCGCGGAAATCAGAAAGAGATCCAAGAGCAACACTAAAAGGGATCAATCACCTTCAAGCCAACATCAGCCAGATCATCAAAAGTATCCACATAGAATGGAGACGCCTGCTACGTTCGGAACAAAAGTGGCTGTACGGTGACTGGGCCATACAGCAAAGGATCAATGAGTAATTTACTATTCAGTAGTACTACCGTCTTCACCCGAATAGAACGCCCGGTACTTATTGCTGCATCTGGACTGAAAGTTGCATCAAATACAGCTATAATGACCGGGCATTCTATTCGGGTGAAGACGGTAGAGATTCTTGGATCCCAAACTTACGCAACCCATAACACCAACTGGATCTGCTGCGACATTTTTTTTTCTGATGAAGAACCAGGAAATCCAGTAATTTACCTTAGCAAGGAGTGCAGAGCAGAAGGGTCATTCAAAACAAAAAGCAACCTGCGAAGAATAAGGGTCTCGTAGAAGGGGAAAGAAGCAGAGTCTTCAAACCACAGTCAAGCATACAGAAGCAACAGAATCTGAAAAAATGGACCCAAGAGAATGGACCTCGAGCACCTCCAACCATCTCTCCACAGTACCACGTCTTCACAAGATAACAGACTACACTCCCAAACTAGGCTACCGTCTCTTCACCAAACCCACCTCAATAGCCAACACCCTACAAAAGAGATGCGGCAAAGACGACAACACTCTCTCCGAAACACAAATCACCCCTCCCTGGACTTCAATTTCTGCACTAGGCCCGTTACGCTAGCCAGCCTCCAGTGGCTACTAGCATTCAGGGCAGTTCCAATGGACCAATGGATGGTGCAAAGGCACAACAAGAGAACAGAACAGAACAGAAGAAGGATCCACCTCAATGCTTAACGTTGCAGGTTCAGGATACACCATCAATCTGCAAAGATTTGCCCAAGACAGGAATCTCTCTCTCTCTCTCTCTCTCTCTCTCTCTCTCTCTCTCTCTCTCTCTCTCTCTCTCTCT